TGGACCCTGGTAGATTGGCTCCTCGTGGACGTATCATTGAGCAAATGGCAGTGCAATATTTAAACACAGTCATTTAATTTGGCATTTGGAGTTCTGCCTATGGCATCAAAAAAGGAGATTGATGGGAAGAGCAGATGAATGATGGCTAGGGGATAGCCACTAAATGTTGATTTTATTCACAGATTAAGTGAGAAGGAACCAAGACAGGAAAAAAATGAGGAGTTAAAAAAATATATTTTTTTATATATCATATTTAATAAAGATATATATTCAAAAATTAAAACTGTTTTACTGTTTCCTCTTCTTTTTCCCTCTATTGGTTACTAAAAATGTGCCTATTAGTGTACTGCAAAATATATACATAATTTTTATATTATGTGAAATCAAGGGACTGTACTCACCGTGACATGCATAAATGGGGTGCTGCTGGGGACAATTCGTACAATACACAAGATCCAGTGCACTCATTCATCCAGTGCAACTTCGGAGCTCGCAGATTTTATTAGTTTTCTTAAAAACACCTAATCTAGGCAAAAATAATGGGGGTTTAGTTAAAGTATATGATCACACATTACATAAGTGTGCCACATCATTGTACACCATCTTTGGCAGGTCCTACTCTAACAACCTAATGTCTGCTCTTATAAGATTAACCCACTTACCTGGGGAAAAAATTCCATCTGTGTATTGTAATATTTATATTATGTACATATTTTGGAGTACATTATGTACATATTTTGGCTTATTTAAATGTATCTCCAAATACTTTTCCATGGACGATATTCAGCGAAACCATTACATGAACAAGCATTGGACATTCCGAACAAAATGTTATTTTCAGGAAAATGATTCAGCCAAACTGAACTTTCCCACCATGCACAAGTCTAATAGGGCAATATCATATAATAATGACAACAAAGTATTTAACCAGGAAAAGTTCACACAGATTGCTTTGGTTTCCAAGTACGTCCTGGGGATGTTACCATAGCCCAACATCCAGGGGATGCTACTCATTTTATCCACCTCAGAAGGATGAAGGGCTGAGTTGACCCTGCCGGTATATGATCCTGCAACCAACAAGGGTTGAACAGATTCAAGAGATGATAATGCATAAGGTGTGTGCATGTAATAAATATACTAAATTATTTAATCCATAATGATATATTTAGCTTTTGCCATACAGCATCTATGTGAATATGTGTGCTCATGGATACATATAGCTATATATATCTATAGCATAATGTGCATGTGAAATGTTTTCATGAGAGTTCTTTCTGCTATATTCCTAAAATTAATGTGATGTCACTGTTTTTCAGTAATGGGTAAGCCCTTTCAACACCAGAAAACAAGGAACTGTTGATCTTACAAAAATGATCTCAATAGAATTCATGTAAAGATTCCACAATCTGTTACTAGCTTTGTTGTCAAAAGAAGCAAGTTGTATATTAAAGTTGTATATTAAAGGGACACTATAGTCACCACTACAGTTTGATGGTGTCTATATTCTGTCTCTGAAGGCTTTTAAATGTAAACTGTCTTTTCAAAGTGGCATGTATTTTAGTACTGCATTGTGTGTAGCACTTGGATTCAGCGTCTCCACACTCTGCATGGAGACACCGAATGCACCCCATCGAGATGCACTGATTCAATATATCTCTATGAGAAGATGCTCTATGAGCGTGGTACTTTACAACACATGCACATTAGCCTTCCAATGCTCTCCTATGGGAATGATGATGATCTCAGCTATAGAGGCAAGGCCAGCCATGGCGAGACACTGTATCTTCCAAAGAATCCTCAGTAATTTCATGTTCTGATAGACAGCCACTAGAGAAGGACTTAACCCTGCAAGGCAATTGTTGCAGTTTATAAAAAACTGCAATAATTACACTTGCAGGGTTAAGGGTGGTGGGAGTTGGCACCCAGACCACTCCAATGGGAAGAAGTGGTCTGGGTGCCTGGAGTGTCCCTTTAATGTAGTTGTTCTGGTGTCTATAACATGTCTCTGCAGTCATAGCACTGTGAACACTGCATTTTTAAGTTTTACATTATCTAGTGGCAGTCTCTCAGACGCCCACTAGAGGTGCTGCCTAGTCCTGTGCTGCACAGTGTCTCCATGCTCCATGAAATTCAGTGTCGCAATGCTCTTCAGTAAGCTAAAGCTTAGAGTGTCCCTTTAAAGGAGTCAGCTACGACATCATATCTTGAGTATACATTCTTCTGCAGTCCATCCAGTGAGAAGTACAAAATAAGACATTCAGCACTGCTACATTCAGCATAGCACTGCTACTGTTCACACACTCTTGAAAAGAAAACGTCATTGTAGATATTTCTTCTTTTTTTCTTAAACTAGGTTTGTTTTCTTTGTGTTGTTCCTGTTTTTAGGTTGTCTCGCTTCTGGAAGTGCAGAGGGCTTACTATATGAAGTAAATCAAAAGATAAAGCTATGTGGGTTATAAATATATATGATATAGAGGGGTGCTTCACATTAAGACAGCGACCTTAGAATATATGTATAAAAAAATAAGATAGAAATGTAGTGTGAGTGCTCCTATTTTTGTTAAAAAGTTAGGTAATATAGTTATTATACATAAAAACATTTTATTGGAAAACACACAAACTAAAAATAAAACACTTATTTAAAAGTATTAGCAATATAATTGTATGGGTATAATCACAGATGCAAGTAAAACAGCTTTGATTGTAATGCTGTGAAAAAAACCACTTCAATCAAAGTGTAACACTTAAAAGAATGTATCTAGCCTGGATATAAAAAGATACGAAATCATCCAGACAGTGACCAGATAGTAATCAAAAAGTCCAAATTTGTGTTTCAAGAGGAAAAAGGCTGCTTAACTAAATGGTGGAAAGTATGATGTAAAAAACGCAAAAAACGAGTCAAATAAAATCTCACCACTATACTGGAGATATAAAACGACCCTGCATAACAATAAGTAGTGATCAGTAACACACTAGCAATCAATCTTTGCAATAAAAAGTGAGCAATGTCTCGTAATAGTACTTATCCATAGGGGCCCCTCCACAAATCCCAGAGATGCTGATAATCAGAAAAATGAAGAGAAGACCATCCGTCCCAAATTCAAGATTCCTGTAAGCTAAAACTCTCCTAATCGGACAGGATACACACATGCCGATATTCACTTGTTCAGTGTAGCTGTCTGCATGAGCACAAACCACCCAGTAGCAATGTCTACCTAAGAACAAGAAATCATCTGTGGCCTGCCATTTTAAGTCCACACATGATAGTAACCCCGCTGAGCTTTCGGTCAAGGGGATAGAAAAAATAACTAAGATGGGGGACTTTGGAAAAAGAAAAAAAGCTCTCATAGCCGCAGAATCAAAACAGATTTTTAAATTAAATACCCTGAACCCACATGGCCTGAATGAGGAATCGGATCAAATGTTGCTATAAAAGTAGGATTTACCAAAGAAGGACCTTCATTTACTTTTATTTTTATCTTTACTTGGATTTTTTTTGTCGTATAATTGCTTTATCTATAGCTATCCTAGAGAGGTCTTTTGATATTGAGGGCTATTGTGTTTTACCAAATTATAACTTAAAGCATTGGCCCTTTAAGAATGAATTTGAGTATATATGATCGTTTTATATATTTTTATATATTTATACTTTTATATTTATAGTCACTATGGTTTCTCTGTACTTCGTTATATTGTGTGCCATTGAGCTCAACACAACATTGCCACCATTGATCTCAGAAACATACTTTTTTTAATAAATCATCAGGAGGAGTGTGTTAAACAATTTATATATATATATGGCAGTATATTTTTCCTTAAGAATATTTATGATTAATACTTTTCAATAATAGTCATGTATTTTGGAAGTTCTTATTTTTTTATTTTATATTATTTGTTTTACATTAATTTAATAAACTAGCATATTGGTGTAGATCAAGCATGTCAAACTCAAAGTCTGGCATGGGCCACATAAACAAGGTTTAGGTTTATGTGGGCCGGAAAAAAAAAATACTGTAAATTTTCATAGAAACGTAGGTTTATTTTAAAAAGTACAGTATAAAAAAAAGACCAGCATCCCCCTCTACTAAACCATAGCACCCCCTCTACCACGCTGTGCCAAATCTGATCCTCCCGCTGACACACACATATTCACTAACAGACAGACACACACACACTCACAGACACACACACACACACTGACAGACACACTTTTTATTGCAAAGATTGATTGTTAGCTTGTTACTGATCACTACTTTTTGTTATGCAGGGTAGTTTGATACGTCCAGTATAGTGGTGAGATTTTATGTGACTTCTGTTTTTAACATCATACTTTCTACCATTAAGTTCAGCAGCCATTTTCCTCTTGAGACACAAGTTTGGACTTTTTGATCACTGTTTGGTCACTATCTGGATGATTCTGTATCTTATTATATCCATGCTAAGTACATTATTTCAAGTGTTACACTTTGTAGTTGTTTTTTTTCCACAACATTACAATCAAAGCTACATAGTTACATAGCTGAAAAGAGACTTGTGTCCATCAAGGTCAGCCTTCCTCACATGTTTTTGTTGTTGATACAAAAGAAGGCAAAACAAAACCTAAGCTGTTCTGCTTTCATTTGTGATTATACCCATGCAGTTATATTATTATTACTTTTAAATAAGGGTTTTCTTTTTAGTCTGTGTGTTTTCAAATAAAACATTTTTATGTATAATATTTACATTATCTAACCTTTTAACAAAAATAGGAGCACTCTCATTACATTCCTATCTTACTATATAGAGTGACTTTATTTATAAAATCTGTTATCTGACCCAAATTAGAAATAATTTACATTAAAATGAAACCAACAATGGAGGGTATTCCATTCATAGGATCTTATTTACTAAAGCATCCGTAGACACCTATACACTGTGTAGCTTAAGAGGTTATGTTTCCAGACACTAAGATACATACAGATTCAACTGACAAATCATTCAAGATAAATAAGAAAAAAAAACACCTTTTAATTGCAATACATTAACAATTGTAGTGATCAAGTAAGTATTATTATTCAAACATGACATAGATGTAAACACTTTTATTGAAAAATGTCTTAATTACATTTGTATTTTGTTTTATGCATTTCCTTTGCATACAGCCTTGGTGACTGGCGATATGAGGGTTTCTGAGCTTGCATGCAAGTTCTTGCTCGTGGACGTGAAAAACAGGAGGCTGTGTGAAATGCGCGGGCATTAGATGCTCAGAATCCTGCTCCTCTGTCGATATGCCCCATAAAATTTTACCTGTGCAAGAAAGTCACTATACAAAGTCTTTGTGTTCCAAAGAAGACTTTACCAAAGTCTACTCCAGTGACAATTAGATATGATTACCTGGCAATCCCTCTAGAACAGGTGAGCTATAAACTTCTGAAGGAGCTGAAATATTGCTCCCATTTATGTTTGTACTCAACTTCCAGTATTGTAATATATCCTGAACAGGACAGACTGGCACCAATGCTGAGCAGATAAATCAATATATTATATCATAGATAAAGCCCAGATTGCAGAACAGTTCCATGATGGTGCTCACCCCTCTCAAGTCATTTGAGTGCTGGATTCCAAATGCATTGACTGTTAAAAATTATATATAGTTATTTAATTATATCTCAGGTTATATTTAAATGTTTAGGGTATTTAAAGCAAAATACTTAAAGGGAAACTATCACAGAAACTGAGTTTGTGTGTTTGGTGCCAGTATATTTACGATAGTGCCATTTAATTCAGGATTAAATTAAACATTGGGGTCATGTTTATTTCTTTAAAAATGCTCAGATCTGGTATCCCTGCAAGTACTTTGTTTGTGCAAATTCTAATCTGTTTCAAAGAAACAGTCACTTTTTAACTAGACAGATGAAGTTAAATGTTAATAGAATCCCTTTAATATCTAAGTCCATACTAAATTGATGGGATATGATAAAAATCACTCATTGTAGAATGTGCTGGCATGTTATAATAATATCCAATCCCTCCAGAGCAGGTGAGCTATAAACTTCTGAAGGAGCTGAAATATTGCTCCCATTTATGTTTGTACTCAAATGGATATTATTATAACATGCCAGCAGTATATCCCACAATGCTTTCTAAAACATGCCAGCATTTCCCACAATGCTGTCTATATGTAAATCTTCCACCACTATATTTTGGTGGAAGATATACATATAGGAAACCTAATATGTTTAATTGATATAGTAGAACTGGTGCAAATTGCCCAGGAAAAAATGTAGACAATATTATAAGCTCCTGTCAATAGTATTAAAGTCTAGGTTAGCAGAAAACAGTCTGGATTCTGACAAATGAGCTTTACTGGACAACATTGTAATTGAAGAATTATTCTGTTTTTGTTACCGATTAGAGCTTAAATTTCCACAGATTAGAAGTTAGTGTCCTATCTAGGCTTCGGTATAGTTAAAGGAACACTGTATTCACCATAACCACTTCAATCACTTGAAGTGTTTATTGTGCCTACTGTGTCCCTTTAATTTATTTACAGAAACAGACTTGGGTATACAGTTTTCATACTGAGGTATTGGCACATTTCTGAGAGATACGAGTGAACTAGTTGAGATTATTTTATGTCATAAATTAAGAACAATCTTCTTATCTAACATCTGTCAATCCGCTTATCAAATACCTATCAATAGATAATCACACAATAAATTTAAAATATGCTCAGAAACGAGTCTAAACAATAAATCTCCACTGAGACTGTCTCCCATGACCGTAGATACCTAAACCATAGATACCTAAATTCCCAAGATGTCCAAAATACTTGTTTAAAAAAAAAAAAAAAAGATTATGGTGTTCACTTATTTTGATAAATTGAGATAATTTGCTTTGTATAATAGGGACCTTTCAAAATATATTCTCTCTGTGCTATAAGCTTATTTTTATTTTGTAATCAGCATTAAGAAAGGGAACAGTTTCCTTACAGAGAACACAAAGGAAGCATGAAACAATTTGGCGGGAAAGTCCAACATCATCTGACATTATGTTGCAGAATTCTCTTTTTCTTTGTGAGATAGAACTAAAAAAAAATCACCCTGATTTATGCAGTTCTATACGCAGCTGTACTGTATGTTTATTTCGGCGGTATGCAGAGATATACAGAGCCTTGAGTTCATTTGTGATATTTTTTTTATATTGCATACAGAATTGTGGATTGCTGAAATCTGAGGAGGAAAGCACAAATATAGGATCTTGGAGGGAACCAGTTCCCCATGCATGTTTATAAGTAGGTTCTTTTGTAACTAGAACGCAAAAAGAAAAAAAGTAAATAACCAAAATGGCGGGTGAAAAATAGACCACAACGACAACCTGTGTCTGTGGGAAAGGAAGATGGAAACTTCAGCCCTGGAAAATACCAGAAATTCTTGCATCTGCTTATTCAAGTCCAAAGGTACTTGTCTCCTCAACAGCTATTAACAACTTCTCATGTAGCATGGAGTAGGATGAATATGGGGGAAGATCCAAGCGATTGAAGCATGTGTGTGCCCTGTGGATATAAAACAAGAACTTTGTAGTTTGTCTTATACTGATATAAAATAATGGAGAGTAATGAGATTTTAACAGTTGCATCTGTTTAAAACTAAACACCTCCAGGTTCCCTCACTACAGTGTATTTGTCTGGATTTTAAAGTGAAAGAAAAGAGAAATTAAAATTATTGGCCTAAAATGTTAAATTCAGTTTGAATTCCTGAAAATTCTATGTAAGCAAATATAGCTTTTGAGGTTCATGCAGCAAACATTGGTGGTTGGTTATCTATGGATTTGGGAATATGAGCCAAAACAGTCAATTTGTGAGTAGATACTGTTTGCGCAGTGAGGCAGTGGTTTACTGTCATATTTGTTCCATTGTCATAAAGAGGATTAGATGACATGTCCTGCCAAAAAGCAAAACATAATTGGCACCTTAAGCATTTCTTAGCTCTAAAACCTCTACCCGACAGTAGGTTTAGCTATCAAAAAGAGATGTGTTCAGCTAGCAATGGAAATGCAAAAAAAAAGTGTTTTTCTTTTACCTTGGAAGAGATGTTATTTTCCCCCATTTCTCTATACAAAAGCGCCTCAGTCCATTGCTACCTCGAAGAGCTGCAAATCCTTCATATGGCACACTGGATGTCCCAGTGACAAACTGTAAGAGTCGTAACCTCTGCTCATTGTTAAACCGCTCCACTGCAGCCCAAAACCACCGGATAACTATGTGCCCATCGTGGTAACCTTAAAGAAAAAAAAAACAAAACAAGGTTAGTTAATAGCAATTACAGCCAACCTTAGCATTTGTAGGATTCTGAGCAAAAGCGAGCGAGAGCCTCCCATCCACATTAACACACATGATTATGTAAATATACAAAACTAGCCAGTTATAAACCTATAATTAGCCACACAGAAATAATTATCCATTCACACATTAGCAACACGCTAATTCATGTATACAGACTCACACTAGCACACGTGCACAAGAGCAAACAGTACCCACAATTTTCATACATTTCATGTTTATTCAGATGGTGAGAAACAAAAACTGAGTAAAAAAAATAGTGAGTAAGCATTAGAGCATTTTGGGCACACCTAGCACACCCCTCGTGTATGCCTATAAGCAGTTTGTGTACAAACAGTGTTATTTTGGCTTCTTTTGTTTGCATAGAGTGCTGTTGCAATTAAGTTGGCTGGGGGGAACCTAGAACTTTAAAAATATTTGATTGGAATGTTTCTGCTTTGTATTTTCACCAAATAATAAAATAAATACAAAATATTCTGTTTTTGTACATGTTGGCCAAAATTCAGAATAGTATTTGACTGGTAAATATCTTATTTGTTAATTGGTAAAAATTTTTGTTGTTGATGGTACATATAATAAATGAGCCTTGGGAGATTAATCATGTAAAGTAAAGGTAAAGTAAAAGTAGTGGAATTTTATTTTCAAAACAAAGACAACTGTCTCTCGAGTGGATAATTTCTATCGTCAAGTGGATAATTTCAAGAAATTCCCAGATGAATTGGCTGCCCATTCGTCTCACCTTTCAGCTCCCGATTACTCTATTTGCGGATATCTGAAGAAGACGGTGTATGTGAACAAACTGCGTACACTCAAGCACCTCAAGGTAAATATTGGTGCAGAAATTCGAGTGCTAGAGTCTCAAACATTAACTATTATCATGTTGTGATAAATGCAATTGAAGAGCCAGACATTGCGAGGTGGCGAATGGAGCTCATTTAAAATATGTCATCTTCCGTACCTAGTAAAACAAATCTCCATATGTTAAGCATTCATTGTGTGTAATATCTCTATATAAAATTGCTTTATTAATAAAAAAGGTAATTGACTCCTCAAACCCTGCTCTGAATTTTGGCCCATTCTGTAGATGCGTGCCTATTTTCAGTTGCACTGATGTGACAGATATAGTTAATCATACAATAGCCCAGTGTTCTTACACTTATTCCTTAGGAGAAAGAGAGGATTTATTGCTTCTCTATTAGTACACTTGTGGTATTATTCACACATAATACCATAATACACTCTGGACCATCTTATTTCACTAGGCAATCATGTTTAAAACTAAACAAAAAAAAAAAGAAATGAATCACTGGTCATCCAAATGGGCACTTTAAAAAAGTCCACCAATGGAAAACAATGCATGGAAATCATTTATTGGTCTATTCAAAGCAAACAAAAAGCTATGAGCAACACAGTCTTCGACTCTTTGTCTCTTCATTCATGTTTGGCGTGCTGGAGAATAATTTGTTTGTTGCCTGTATAGTACACAATATGTACAGTGTTCTCCAACCCAGTCCTCGTGAACAGTCCAGGTTTTGTCAGTATATCAATTTGAATAAAACAGGGAAATACATAATCATGGACTGTTGGTGGGCCATGAGGACTGGGTTTGAGAACACTGGACTAGGAGAACTCCTGGGATCCAGGACATGCAGAGCCTTAGGGTATCAATTGAATTCTCCAACACTTTTGATTTACACTTGAGTATTGTCATCCTTTATAGTGGTTTCTTGTTTTCAAAACATATATTGTATGATGGATGAAGTGACACTGTACAAAAAACCAAATGCAATTCACAGTTAACTGACACTGTTAGATGTTCAGGAAAAATTTACCTCCTCTGTATTCTGTGTTATTGCGCCAATCGATCAGGTCTATCTCAGCAGTTCCAGCAATTACTAGTTCTAATTCCCGGGCATCGTACACCGACACAAGTCTGGAATCTACAACCTAAAAAGCAAATGTTTATACACTTCACTTGGACAGCTCATATGGGTACATACAACAATCATTATGTTTAAAGTTTCAGTCAGTAAACCACACTATAGTGGTTATGGTACCAGGTGTTTCCAGACAGACACCCAACTGTAAGTAGTCAAATTGTTTTAGAATGGATTGACTTATTACCTTGGGTCTGCAGGGCTCCACTGCCTGCACTAGCTATTTCTGATAGAGAGTCTAAAGCTCTCTACTTTAGCTAAGCCCTGCATCAATGATTGTTGGCTTAGCTTATTGACTGAGAGTGATCAGCTGACACTCTCAGGCAATAATCTACATTGCAGGGCATAGCTCAGGAAAACGAAAGGCAGCTCTTACATAGAAGCTTCTGGCTCTCCAATTTTAGTAGCAGTGCTGAAGACTGCGGGTATGTAGTGAAAATGCTCTAAAACAGTTTTACTGCTTACAATGTGGGGCATCAGTGCACTATAACCACTACAGTGATCTGTAGTGGGTATGGGGCTTTGAGTGTTCCTTTAAATACCCTAAAACAATTGCCTGCAGTCTTATTTATGGAGCAGCAGAGAAAACAATATCATCATATATAGAACCAAATAACAATTTATTATAATTTGAGAAATTCTAATTTATTTACAATTTTAGTGTATTAACGGTTTTATTATGAACCAATAACGCCCTCAAAAAGTTTAGAAATATATGGATACATTTTCTTTTCTGCTTTGAAAAATGTAAAAATTTATAAAGTGTAATACTTTACCGCAGAAGGAATATTTGTATAAACAAAACAAAACAAAAATATTCTTTTACACATTGCACCTACTGAAAATAATATAATTGAAATACCAAAAAATCCTCTGATTTCTAAAAGACATTTAATAGAATGTCCAATACTGGTATTTCTTGTCAGTGCGAAAGACATGCTACAAATCTATCAAAGGGACGTGATCACTGAGCTGTTCAGAGAGTAAATAGACTAAAGGGTACAGAGAGTGCACTCAGGTCATGCTCAGGGAAAGGTTCTTAAGAGATTCAATATTTGAAGAACAATTTATTTGATTTTGAAGTCTGTCTAAAGTTTGGTCTGTAAATCCATCTCCTGATGACTTATGGAAAGCTGTCTCGTCCCAACTGGTTCACAGTAGGCAAGGATTGATTACATATATTCATTTTTGTTTTAACCCTCTTAATTAGCTTTTATATTCCAAAAGCTTTTATGGTTCATATAAAGTAATGGAAATAAGATGAATATATAATATTTTATTAAAAACTTTTTTTTATTGTAGTAAGTTCTGCCCAATAACTTACCTCATAAAATCCTCGTACAAGCGCTTCTGTTTGCTGAACTACACCACGCTCGACTCTCCATTTTACCATTTTCTCTATATATTCTTTTTTGTTTTTTTCTGTCACCTGTATGTTTGCTCCCCCTGACTTGAGTTCTCTCTCTGTGACCTGATGGAAAAACAAGGTAAAAACTTGAACCACCATTATAAATATATCAGTCTAGTAACAAAGTTATCCAAAGTGGAGACTACTATTTATGACTTGTTTTATTAAATTAAATTATTGTTACCAGCAGATAATCATTTGAAAATTGTTAACCTACTTAAATGGAACATTTCCCTAAAATGGCAAGATCATGAGTTGCATGCTTACATAAACACACACATGCTTCTATGTACTTTAGAAATCGTTTAACCCCTTAAGGACCAAACTTCTGGAATAAAAGGGAATCATGACATGTCACACATGTCATGTGTCCTTAAGGGGTTAAGGGGACTCTCCACAGCCCAATTAGAACTGTAGACTATAGAAATATAGTCATTGACAAGGTTAGAAATAATGAATTTAAAAGGACCACTATAGTGTCAGGAAAACAAACTCGTTTTTCTGATACTATATAATCCTTAGGTTCCTCCCCCCACCCTCAGGGCCCCCCTCCCACTGGGCTGAAGGGGTTGAAACCCCTTCAGCCACTTATCTTTATCCAGCGCTGGGCTCCCTTGGTGCTGGTGACCTCTCCTCCCCCTCCGACGTCAGCTCCCGAGTGGACGTTCTGCGTGCTCAATGTGATTTTCGCATTGAGCGTCGGGAAGCGCCTCTAGCAGCTGTCAGGAAGACAGCCACTAGAGGCTGGATTAACCCTGCAATGTAAACATAGCAGTTTCTCTGAAACTGCTATGTTTACAGCTGCAGGGTTAAAACCTGGGGGACCTGGCACCCAGACCACTTCATTATGCTGAAGTGGTCTGGGTGACTATAGAGGTCCTTTAAGTAAATTAATAAGTGTGCCCTTCAAACTTTGCTTTCATCAAAGAATCTTCCATATGCAGCAATTACAGCCTTGCAGTCCTTTGGCATTCTACTGTCAAATTGGGAGGTAACATGAAGAGGTTTCATCCCATGCTTCCTAATGCAGCGCCCACATGATGGATAGGCTTGATGGGCACGTTTTATGTACCATACCATCACGATACTCCCACAACAGCTCAGTAGGGATGGTATCTGCGGATTGTGCTGGCCACTCCATTAAAGACAGGATACCAGCTGAGTGCTTTTTCTTTAAATAGTTCTTGCATAGTTTGAAGCTGTGCTGGGGGTCATTGTCATTTTGTATGGTGTCCAATCAAGCGCAAACCACAGGGTATGGCATGGCGTTACAAAATTAAGTGTGTCTTCCTTCTGCAAGGTCTCATTTACCCTGTATGAACTTCACACTTTTCCATCCCCAATGCACCATCACACCATCGCACCATCACACCATCACACCACCTCCACCATGCTTGACAGATGCAATCAATCATAAATCACTCATCCAGCATCTTTTCATATGATTTGTGACTCATGAATGTTCTTCTTTGTGATCCCAAAACCTCACATTTAGATTTGTCTGTTCATAACACTTATTTTCAATCTTCCTGTGTTCGGTGTTTGTGCTCTTTTGCCAACTTTAATCTTCTGGCCATTATGGCTTTTTCTTTGCAACTCTTCCTAGAAGGCCAGCATCTCAAGATCGCCTCATCACTGTTGATGTTGAGATTAGTGTTTTGCGTGTACTATTTAATGAAGCTGCCAGTTGAGAACGTGTGAAGCATCTATTTCTCAAACTAGATACTCTTATGTATTTGTCCGTTTGCTCAGTCGTGCACTGTGGTCTCCTACTCCTCTTTCTAGTCTTTTTACAGCCAGTTTGTGCTGTTCTGTGAAGAGACTAGGACACAGCGTTGTACAAGATCTTCAGTTTCATGGCAGTTCCTTGCATGGGATACCCTTCATTTTTTAGAACCAGAATAGACTAATAAGTTTCATAAGTTCTTTGTTTCTGGCCATGTTCAGCCAGTAATGGAACCCACAACTGCTGATACGACATATACTCAACTTGTGTAATGAATGCCAGTGTTATTGTTTCTTTAATCAGCAAAACAGTTTTCAGCCTTGTTAACATAATTGCAAAAGGATTTTCTAATACTCAATTAGCTTTTTTAAATGATGAACTTAGAACAGCAAACACAAAGTGCTGTTGCCATTGCCCTTTAACCCTGAACCGATGGATAGCGCCTGCAGACTAATACACCACAGTCACTACAATGGGAGGTAGTAGTTATGGTGGTTAGCTGGACCCTTTTACTTATGTACTGTCTCAGTGTACATAAGGTACAGAAATAGGGGAATCTCTAATTATTTGGAAGTGCTTAGGAACAATGTTCATGTGAATGGATGTTGTTATGCACATACCGTGTCTGTCCTGAAAAATAGTGCTAATATTGAAAATGGATGACGTTATTAATGTAATGCACCTGTTTTCACTGGTTTCTATGACATCAGCAATTCTACAACTTTAGATACCTTTTTAACACCTATGTATCTTTCAGTGCTGCAAGCCAGTGGATAATAAATGCAACATCTCTGTTTGAAAACAGGCAGACAGTAACCCAGTGAAATAAAAAATTAAAATAGACACAATTCAGATAACTGCATTCTCACTAACCTAGATCGTTTCATCAACATAGGCCTTGATTTTAATACACTTTCCAAATTATTCAATATTTTTACAAAGGCTTTTCAAATAATTCATCTACAGAAGTCACCATTTAAGTCTACAGGAATTTTTGTTGATAAATTATTTGAACATTTTTGGAACAGGATTGTATAGTGTTTTCAGACTGGCTATTCTGGCCTTAAATTGAAATTCACTTAAAATTTTCTTTATTTCTCACTTTGAATCTTTTCTTTTTATTTAGGAGCACTATGATCTACACATCTGTATTCACCCAAGTCAAGTAATGTAAAATATATTTATAAAATTCATGCTATCCACTGATCTATTCATACTAACCTGACCAAACACTTCCTCATTTACTGTGAATGTCAAATCCAAGATTTCAGTGATGTCGTTGTCCTTCATCCACTGCAAGCTTTGATGGAACTCTTCATCCAGGTATTCAAGGTCACTCAGGTCACAGGGACTATCAATATATAGATATAAAACTTGTTTGACAATGTAGAACACATACATTAATTATTTTATTTTAATTGTATTTTTCTTTCAATGTTACTCATCTAACAAAATGCACTTGCTAAAGAAAAAATTTTTTAAATCCTTTTTTTTTTTCTTACCTGACAAATCTATTTCCTTTGAAATGGACAGAACACACGAGACATATGGGATAAAGTCTCTTCCAAACGGAGGAGATTGAAGCAAACATAATTTTGTTGTCAATGGGTGTCTTTAATTGAGAGGATATGCCTTTCCTGAAACTCAAGCCTAGCTTTCAGCAGGTGGACCAGGTGTCCTCGCTAGGGAACTTATACTAAAATTTAGACTTGTAAAAAAAATAAAAAAAATAAAACATTATTTCACTCAAAGCTCTAATGAATTAGCCTTCCTTCTGTGAGGAAGAAACAGAACCAAAGATTTTAGCAGAGGGGTTAGAGAGAGAGGAGTGTACTGTAGCACTGCATTTGGATGTTTCAAACTCCGATTGGTAAAGGCTTTATCCCATATTCAATGAACCATGGACTCTCAACATTTTACGAAGTAAAATACTTTATTTTTTATAATAAAACTGAATTATAGATGCAACACTCAAGATGATCTCAGACCACAATGGAGCGAGATTTCTTATGTGAAGAATGAATTTCAAAGATGCAGTAATTCTAAACTGCTCATCCATCTAGTGAAATTAATATAAGGAATGCTTGGTACATACAATGAGACTGTTAAATTGTGCAGATTAAACTGTTTTTTTTGTAACAGAAAACATCAACTGCATCTCTGATTTTCTCCTAGAAGCACTCATACACCGGGTATAGGTGAGACAGATCTTGTAGCACTTCAAGAGAACCTGTCATGACATATTTATATTAACATATAACAGCACCACAGTTCATCAATCTATAATTTATCCTAGTGATACATTTTAGATTTATTGGCTTTGGGAGCTGTTATAATTTTACTTTTCAGAGATCTATTGGTGTTACGTCAATACTCTCTGGTGACACCGACACATCAATGCCAGTGTGTTATACTCCAACTGCAAAACCAGGAAAACTGCTTGCTGGAAAGTATCCAAGTGACAGACAGCAAGAGGAAAACCTTTTGCTTGAACTTGTATACCGAGGACTGATTGACAGGCTGGAGAGGTACGATATTTTTACAGGTTTCAAATAAAATCTATACATTTGTTAGTATTTCTGCAAACACAATGTATGTACGAAATTGAATGGCCTTTAATTTCAACCTAAATATCATGCCAGGTAACTGTAAGTTATAGACTCTCTTACTCTCTAATTTGACACACCATCAGAAGGCAGTGGAAAAGTAAATATATACATAGGTGGTACATTTCAAAGAAAAATAAAATAATTTTTTGTCAATGTGGGTTTTAAAAAAAATAATATTTTAGTCACAAATGTATAATATATTCAAAGGTTGTATTATATCCACTTACAGCCTCAGAAGGGCTTTGTAGAAAGGTCTGGTAAAGAAGGCATCCAGGAGGTATTGGTGGATAAGGGCAAGGCCAAGAATTCGTCCACTGAACCGAAACCTAGATAAAAATAATAATTTTCAAGTAAAATTTTTTAGGAATGTATGCATAGTATTAAAGGAAAAAAACGGAACTGTTTTAACATAGAGCATAATATCTGCATGTTTCGGTTTAATCCCTGGCATTAGGCAAAAACTGGCGAGGAAACAGCAGAGAAATCCACTTCACCTCACTAAGGCTAAACTCTGTAATGGGTAATAAAAACCCTGTTGGTTATTGACTGGGCAAGCCTTGTGATAGCATAGCTTCTTCAGTGATGCAGTTTGACTGGCAATCTAATAAGCAATCGCAGTGCATCAGAGCATGGTTAGGACCTGCCAAGTACATTTAAATACTTCTGCATCTAGGGATGCTCTCCATACTTTGACTTCCAGCCAATGTGTAGTGTTATAATGTAAAACAAATAACATTTACATTTTATTTAACTCTTTTGGCCTGAATAGAGTGGTAGACCAGAGTTTGCAAACCTTTGGCCACACTGACTCAAAAGGGGATATAATTATCCACTTAGACCAGGGGTCTGGTTTTACCCAGGTCAAGTAGTAGAGAAGCTTTGAAGGGACTTTGAAACTGGACACCCCTCATTCGTTGTAAAGAGGGAATAGGGGACCCCCTAACTTTTTATCAATACATATACATTTGATGGTGAGGTTCCTAGCGCTTGTTAGATTCGGGTATGGTAGCTGGTACTTCTCAAACCAGAGTCTCTTATCTCTGACCGAGGTATAGGTCAGAAAAGGGTACCAGGAAGCAGCGCCTTCTGGGTGTCCTCAAACTCGCATGGTTTTCAGTGTGACGGAACGCTGTCACTTATTTGTATATTTTCCCCAGATTCCTTTTGTATTTTGGTCACCCTGTGCCCATTATTGGTGGCAAACAGAACCAGCATTCATTAATGGAAGAAGCATACAGCATACAAGGAACCTAGTGGCCGAGTACCTGCAGCAGAAAGCAGAGCTGGCAAGTGAGTTGGCACGTTTGGGGGGAGCCCAGCGGCAGTGTGGGGTCCAGGGAGAAGAGACGGTCAGTCTCACTCCTCAGTGGCAGTATGCAGGCCAGGGAGAGAAGCGTGTCATCCTTCCTCCCCAGTGGCAGTGTGGGGGCCAGGGAGTAGAGACAGTCGGTCTCTCTTCCCAGCGGCAGAGTGTGTTACAGGGAGAGGAGGCAACCGGTCTCTCTCCCCAGTGGCAGTGTGGATTCCAGGGAGAAGAGACAGTCGGTCTTGTTCCCCAGCGGCAGTGTGCAGTCTCGGGAGAGAAGCATGTCATCATTCTTTCCCAGCGGCAGTGTGGGGTCCTGGGAGAAGAACTAGCCGGTCTCTCTCCCCAGTGGCAGTGTGGGGTCCAGGAAAAGAGACAGTCAGTCTCTCTCCCCAGCGGCAGTGTATCATGCAGATAGAGGAGACAACCGGTCTCTATCCCCAGTGAGAGATTGTGTTCCAGGGAGGTGAAACAACCGGTCTCCCTACCCAGCGGCAGCTGAATTACCAGGAGCGGAGACAATCGGTCTTCCTCTCCAGCGGCAGAGTGCAAACCCAGCGCAAGAGCTGGCATCAGGGCAGAGCACCACTGGTCTCTGTCCACAAGTTCCTGAGGCTGACCCCAGCGACCTGTTATGGTCTGGTCAGCAGGTAGCAGGCGAGACTATGGCTGCCGCTACCCCTGCCCTTAAGGATGCCCCTGCATCAGAGCAGAGTGCAGCCAGGCTCTGCTCTCCCCTTCCCTTGATGGCAGTAGAGGTGCGAGCCTCCGGGCAGAGGGCAAACGGCCTCTACCTACCTGAGTGGTGATCCCCGGGAGCAGGTGCCACCTGCACCGCTCCCCAGCAGAGGAGTGAGATCCAGGGGAGATGGAGTATTACTCGCTCCCTTCCCAGTATCCAAGCAGCCCTAAGAGAAGAGCACAGCCGGCTCTCCTCTCGAGAAGCCAGCCACAACCCCAGTGATAAACAGGAAGCAGGGCCCCGACGGACTCCACAACCTACGGCCATCAGCCTCAGCCAACCGTAAAAACTGCAGAGACACAGTTGATGGAATGGCTTGTTTTGGTGGGGGGTTTTACGGGCTCAGAGACTCATGTGTATCAGAGCCTGGGTTGCACAGCCTCGCGGGCTAAAGGCGCTTTATGTTTAAGTCACCCTGTATCTAGGAGGGTGCAGGGTGCAACGCCATCCAGACCCAAGGACTTTAGGGGCTGGTTGAGGACAAGTGCTGTTGCGGGCATGGCACTAACAGACTATGTATCCAGTCAAGACAGCTGACACATGTGGATAATGCTGTGGCTGTCGGAGGTAGACAAAGGGGAGATGTGTGACGGAGCGCCGTCACTCTTATTCGTATATTTCCCCCAGATTCCCTTTGTATTTTGGACACCCTGTGTCCATTATTGGTGCAGGGTAGGTTGAATGTATTACTTGTCTGTGCCTCTCCCCCTTCCTTTTATGAATTTATTGCTTGTCTGTGCCTCTCCCCCTTCCTTTTCCTGTCCTAGCAGGGTGTTGTCCAAAAGACACTGCCAGACCAGTTTAAACTAGCTGCTTTGTCCCTCCTCAATCTCCCATTGGGATCTTGGGATTGAAACCCCTGTTGTATTGTGTTGGAGACCCCATGTAGGGATCGGTGCCTAGGAAACCATGTGTGACCAAATAAACCTCAGTTGACTCCAGAACTGTGTGTCGTCCAGTTACTGGGGGAAATGGATGCCTGCTTGTTTTTTAAGGGTTCCAGAGTGGCTGAAGGAAGGTAATAGCAAAGGTAACCAGCCGGGTTACCCGTGGTCCACTACAGGGAGTCAATAATTTTCTAGAGCTTATGTTAAGCTCCAGATATATGTGACTGGGCGGTGTGATCCCCGCCTGTGGATATGTCGCTCAGCTTGGTTTCTTGTAGATGGCAGGTCAGGGTCAAGGGCAAGTTAAAATGTTGCGTGTTCATGGGTATTTCCCTCCAAATTGCAGTGTCACAGATATTCACCAATTACATAAAATGAGAATAAAAACCGAAAAATAATACTCTCTGTTTTGTTGTAAAGCAAAATAAAAAGAGGTATACTTAGAAAAGGAGAGCAAAAATTAGTTTTTTTCTTAATCCTGTGTAGAGTAGCTGGTTTCCTCCCCAACGAGGAGATAAAACGCGTCTCCTCCGGATAAAATATTCAGGGATAAAATCAGGAAGGTCCAGGTAAGGTAAAAAATGAGTTTTATTTAAAACAATGATAATAAAACCAATTACATAAAAACACTAACGCATATTACCCAAAGGGGCTTTTTAAAAAAAAAAAAAAGTGTTACAGTACATGAGGATCTGTCTTGTTTAAATAGCATACAGAATTAAGAATAAGAGGGTCATATTACTTACAGGTAGTCAGCTACAAACAATTTTACAATTTGAAAATACATTTTACTATAAAGCAGTGAAGGGGATTATGACATTGCAAGCGTGCAGTTAGAAAATGGCTAATTTTTTTTTATTCTTTATTTTCATAGTGCAAGGGAAGACATACAGGCTTGTGATGCAACAACAGCAATGACAAGCTTATTGCAAACTCAGAGACATATACAGTGTTACGGCATAAGAAGAAGTTGAACATTTTTATATTTTTAGGAAACAGGCTGAGACATAGATCTGAACTTAAGAACAGAGAAAGTACAGGAGAATGAGTGAGAAAGCTAGCATTAGATAAGGTATGTTGTCATGGTGTGGAGAAAAATTATACAGGAGCTGTGTTAAACATGAGGAGTTAAGTAGTGTAAGCTCTGTCAGAGCAGGCTTACAGTGCCAGAGGTAAGGAGGGCACAATGTACATCTGAACAGCGCCTGAGGGGGAACACATGGCGGTCATCCTATGTCCAGGCTGGGTAGGAGTTTCGCATGTTCGTGCAGTCTGCTTGGTTGATTGCCACTGCTGTGCCGCAGGTGAGCTTCTACTTCCCAGTCCCAGACCAGGAGAAGAGCATGCCTCTTGGTGACACTTGCTGGCAGAGCTCCATCTTCCCATCCGGGAGAGAGCATGCAGTCTACATAGTTCTACGTCTCCGATACCGTGCTGTTTGCCGGTGTCGTGGCTTTTGCAGCAGGGTGAGTCTCCGGGTGGGAAAAGGCAGCTGGCGGCATAGTAGCATGGTGCACAGCGGAACCCTCAGGCCTCCCTCAGCAGGAATGCCCTTCATCCCCTACCTGGATCGTGTCGGTGTGTGTCGGTTTTATCCTCTTCTCCAGCATGACCTAGAAGCAGGGAAAGGTTGCATCCAGTCTAGGTGAGATGTTGCATAAGGGAGCTGTGGAGTCTGCTGCGTGGCTTAGGGCTGGGACACGTGTCACAGGCACTGTGGCGTCCGCCATCTTGGTTTGGATTTGTCTCGCTTGGGTGAGTATCAATTTGGAGATTCCTCCACAACACTGACATCCACTTTTTTTCCCCCTCCAATTCTTTTTGATATATTTTACTTTAAAATGTATCCATTTTCTAACTGCATAATTGCAATGTCATAATACCCTTCACTGCTTTATAGTACCATGTATTTTTAAATTGTAAATTGTTTGTAGCTGACTACCTGTAAGACACATGACCTGTGGCACCACCTGACCCTCTCATTCTTAATTGTGTAGGCTATTGAAACAAGTCCACATGAACAGTAACACTTTGAAAATGTCCCTTTGGGTGAAACGTGTTAGTGTTTTATGTCATTGGTTTTATTATCTTTGTTTTAAATAAAACTAGTTTGTTACCTTACATGGACTTTCGTGATTTTATCCCTGAAGATTTTGTCTGGAGGAGCCACACGTTTTATCTCCTTGGTGGGGAGGAAACCACCCATGCAACACAGTATTGAGCAAAAAACATTTCCTTTTACTTTGCTTTTATAACAGCAAAACAGAGAGCACCATTTTCCTGTTTTTATTCTCATTCTATGTAATTGGTGAATTTCTGTGACACTGCAATTTGGAGGGAAATACCCATGAACACTCAACAATTTAACTGGCTCCTGACCTACCATCTACAAGGAACCAAGCTGAGCGACATTCTCAGGCGGGGATCATACCGCCTAGGCGTATATATCTGGAGCTGAACATAAGCTCCAGAAAATTATTGACCTACCACCATACGAGTTTGAGGACACCCAGAAAGTGCTGTTTCCCTGTACACTTTCCTGACCATTAACAATACATTTTATTCTTCTCTGCAGAGCACAAGTGATGGATGAAGGGTAAAGGCATTTTGTTAAGGCCACTATGTGCTAGTTAGTAGCCTCCACAGTTTCCACAGATGGAAATTACTTTTTGCTTTCATGAATTCCTTTCCCTACTTTGAGATTACATTTTTTTATGGCTTAAAAAGATAAAATTTAGGGTTGAGGTGAAAAAGTGCCAGTTAACTTCTGTTTTCTGTTTTGTGATTTACCATAAGAAATAAAATGCTGCTTCGATAATAAAGATATATGCAACTAGTATGATGTTCAATAAAGAATGTTAGTAAATCTCAGCCAACAGTGGAAACACAAAGTACTAATTATAAAAGAACAACCTGGCTTGCCAGATATTGTGAAAATACTTGGTATTAGGGCTTTAACCACCATCCCATTCCTTGAACTCTGGTTTACTGCGTATGTACTGTAATTCCTGTCACAAAGAGATGATGACACTTGACGTTTGGAGTAATAAATCTGGGAAGTGTTTGAGTTAGACAAATAATCCACTGACATGCTGTATTAATTAGCAAAAACAACAAATCAGGTGACTTGGGTAATATGGGGAATAAAAAGGCTATGCTTCACATATGGCCATTTAAACAGGGCTCTTGTTGAATTCCACTCACATATCTTTGTTAGGGACCAGTGCCACATTAAGAAGCACAATTTTTAATAGTTACTTGTACTGCTGATAAAACCAAAACAAATAAAAAATAAAACATTGAGAGGCATTTTTCACGTGGAAATCTTCACTGGAACGCTCACTGTTTCTTTAATCAAAGAAGGCACTTTAAATGTAATATTGATTGGCATCTATGTCAAGTAGGAGGTTTTCTGTGCTGCCCTGTGATGCTTTGTGTATGTCAGTAGCGCATTGTGTATGTCAATAAAGCTTGAAACTTTAGTATTACGTTGACCATGGCGTTCCTTTGGTTCTGGTATGTTGAGGATTCATTGAGTAAACCCCTTGAAAAATTATTTTATTTTCACAAATGTTTTTTTAAAATCTCTGACAGTACAGTTGGCTTGTGCCGTGTGATGGCTCTTTAGTATTCTATGTACCGATCCCAAAGAACATAAACAAGGACATCCTTACGCAGACTGCTTTGAAAGAACATGATATTGTAAGTAATAAAATATTACGACTTACCACTCAAGATGGTTTTCAACAAATGCAGACATGGGACTTATTTGTACAGTGTAGGTATCATTTGCCGAATACTCAAACAAACCATAGTAAGGATTGAAGAGCTCTTGAGAGAGTAGGAAAAAAAACTCCCGAGAAGGGCCGCTATAGTCCAAGCTAGAAATAAAATGAAAATGACTTTGTTATCATATTTTTCTTGCTTTTATTGAACAGACATACATTTGCTTTATACAGTGGCAACAATTTATGCTGTACTTAAAGAAGAAACAGAAATAAGTTACAAAGAGCATTGCAAACATCTTACAGTCTTCAGGATCATGTAAAAACGAAATGAATATATTACTGTAGTGATGTAAGATTACAATGTCTATTCAATTTGCGCTTCAGAAAATTATTTTTATAGAGTGAGCAAGAACGGTCGTGTTCTGAAATATTTAGGCAGAATAACTTATCTGGTTCTCAGGGCTGCTATCAGAAATTTTGGGGCCCCTGAGAAAGCACAAGGTCTGGCCACCCCCGGGCACGCCCACAAGTCCGCCCACAGGACTCCTACCTAGTCCGCTGACAATGATGCAGGACTGAATGTGGTGTGTAGTGGAAGTGAATTAGAATGTGTGTAATAGATGTAGTGTTTGTGTGTATTACATACTGTTTGTGCAGTGAATGCAGTGTGTGTTAGTGTAGTGAATGCAGAGTGTGTGTTAGTGTGTAATAAATGCAGTGTGTGTTTGTGTGTAATGAATGCAGAGTGTGTGTTAGTGTAGTGAATGCAGAGTGTGTGTTAGTGTAATTAATGCAGAGTGTGTGTCAGTGTAATAAATGCAAAGTGTATAAGTGTGTAGTGAATGCAGTGTGTGTTAGTGTAATAAATGCAGAGTGTGTGTTATTGCAGTGAATGCACAGTGTGTGTTAGTGTAATTAATGCACAGTGTGTGTTAGTGTAAGGAATGCAGAGTGTGTGTCAGTGTAGTGAATGCAGAGTGTGTGTATTTTACTAGTGTATGTGTGTTGTGCAAATGGAGCATTTCCCCCCCACCACATTAAATGTAATAACAGTTATTCCCCCCTCCCTGCTTCTTACCTGGCCCAGGGAAGGTGGAGATTCCATCCCTGGTGGTCCGGTGGCATTGTGGGGCCCCCCCGACTTCCTGTATTTGCAGACTGCAGCAGTACATTACAGCTCTTCCCTCTCTCTAACTCCCGCGAGCGTGCGTGCCGCGCGGAGTGTTGCCGTGGTAACTCTGCGGGGCCCCCTCTACAAATATAGGGAGCCAGGGGCTCGCGGCTTTACATATATATAGCGATCATCGCTTTATATATGTGCAGAGAGGGAATATGGGGCCTGGTACTGCCAAAGCAGCCCGGGCCCCTCAGGACCGCCGTGCCCGTGTCAACTGTCATGGTTGTCTCCCCCTGATGGCGGCCCTGCTGGTACTTTCAAGTTGGGCAGGGTGCTCTGACTTGTACGTGGATTTTAATCTGAAGTTAACATTTAGACTCTTGTCCAATAACATAAGGCAGCGGTTCCCAAAGTGTGGGTCGCGACCCACTGGTGGGTCGCAGGGCGATTCCCAGTGAGTCGCGCTGACCCACACATGCAGGGCCGCCGGCTAGTCAGGCAGGCAGACTGATTAGTCGGCTCTCGGTCTGTGACCGCGGGACCGACACACGGAGGGGGCCCGGCGGCTTGCCCTGTATGCCTCCGGGCTCCCTCCAATCAGTCTGCCCAGCAGCTCCGGTCTGTAGGGAATCTATTAAAAGGTAGGACACAGCCCCCAGATCCTGCCCCCCACTCAATGTAACCCCTTTTCTCCTTGCCCCCTCCAAAAAAGCCCTGTAACCCCTTCGCTCACTGCCCACACTGTAAACCCTTCTTGCCCTTCACTCCCTGCCCCCTTCACTTCCTGGCCCCCTCCCCCCTGTAACCCCTTCACTCCCTGCCTCCCTCCCCCCACTGTAACCCCTTCACTTCCTGCCCCCCTCCCCCCCTTCTGCCTGCCCCCCCACTGCCCATTCTCCTGCCTCCCCCACTGCCTTCTCTGCCCTGTAACCCCTTTGCTCCCCTGCCCCCTCCCACACTGTGGCTTCATCTGGCCTGCCCCTTCACTGCCCTTCCGTAACCCTTGCTCCTGCCCATTAGCCACAACCCCTACTCTGCCTACCCCCCTGCCATGACACCTCCCTGCCCTTTCCCTGCCAACCCCTTCTCCCCCTGCCCCTCTCTCCACACTGTACCCCCTTCTCTCTCTGTCCCTCTCCCCACACTGTACCCCCTTATCTCCCTCTCCCCACATTGTACCCCCTTATCTCCCTCTCCCCACACTGTAACCCCTTCTCTCCCTGCCCCTCTCCCCACATTGTAACCCCTT